TGAAGTGAGCAAGGTTGCAGGTAATTGTTCTAATGGTTTCTTGTACTTATCCTGTAAAAAAAGTCTGCAAAAAATTGCGCAACACGACAAACATGTTTTGTGACGTACGTGATCGGATGCAATTACAAATGGCAGTGGTGATTAATCATGTGTACATCATTTCAGGTTTAGCTTATTGGGAAAAATGTAGCATCATTTCGTTAACGATGAAAATTAATTGATTGTAAACTTTTTTTTCTAACAACTTTTTCTTTTTTAAAAATTTCTTTCGAATTTCTTCAACATAATGGTGAATTCAATCAAAATTTTTTAATTGAAATTCACCAAGCTATAATCAGGACCAGAATGTTGCTTATAATTCGTATCAATTCCAGTTGTGCTTGTTAACTCTAAATCTGAAGTTTTATTAGTAGCAGTATTCATTACTTCTCCCACACGATCACTTTCCATTAATTCATCGAACAACACAAAAGAACGACCAATACAGCAATAATTCTATTGCTGACAATGATTTTTGCTAGAATTTCGAGTCTTTTATTTCAACAATTTAATTCTAGAATGTACAAATTGAATTGAATTTGTAATTCCTCCTTTATTAGAGAAAAAGTGCGAGAGCTGTTTAATTTTTATTTGAAGAAATCATTGAAAAATGAAATATTGCTAAATCTTCTCTCACTTTATAATTCATTTTTACGTTTCGTTTTGATCTCTTTCCAATTACATGCATATACACTCGAAAGATTAATTATAAAAACAAATTTATCAAAAAATACGCAGCAAACAATAACTCATTGGGTACGATTATATGTTGTCCATTTTGCATTATTTAACATTTCTATTTTGCATTTAGCTAAAATTTTTGAACCGTAGTTCATTCATTTAGACATTAATGTTACAATCAAATAACGAATTTTTAGATCTTGTTAGATAACGGAAAATTTGCCTATCTGTGCACTTATACTTTGCTTTATGACACGAAAGCATAGAGCAAAATAATAGCATCACCGGAATCATTTAGAATCTCTATAAAATACTCCGTTAAATTTTAAAAAATATAAAACCAATTTAAAAAACAAAAGAAACATTCCAAAAATGAAAGGAGAGCGATATATAACGGATAAGGAGTAAAAGATAGCAACAACAATTCATCCTAAATTACGCAGCGCCTAAATTCAATCTCAATTTTCAAGAAGTGCTAAGTTTTAATCGAATTTTTTTTTTGTTTAACAAAGCATATTAGTATACAACTCTTGCATGAAATAAAAGATTTAGGATGATCTAGCAATAATTAGATTAGATCGACAAAATTATTTAGATATCTTAACATTTGCACCGTATAATTGTAGAGATTAGACTTTTAGAAATATCTCTGCGTTTTTATATTATATCCTTGTTCTCCTCAGCTGGACTGAAAATAGTGACAAATATTAACGAAATTTTTCTCAGTGGTTTTGCTGCTTGTAAATAAATGATTCCCATGCAGCGTCACGATATCGCCGGATCTGAGTATTGATATCAGCTACACCAGTAATTGCTCGTCCCACCATCACTATGTCGTTTCCATCTACGCCTATTGCATGTTCTATTGTACGCCAATTTTGACCAATTCCATCGGTTATTGCATCCATATGAACTCCTATAATAGCATTCATTTCATCAGACGAACTATTCCATCAATAAGCATTCGGAAAAAAAATTCAAAATCAAAAGCCAAAGTTCTTCCCTTTATTTGCATAGCTTTCATACATACTCAAAAACGATTTGAGCATATTCATTTCAACAAGCCAAGTATCAAGCACAAACAAGCCTTAATATCTAAATCTAAAAGACTAAAAGACGAAATGAAAATAATTGTTTATTATTTATTACCTGCAGTCCAGTACAGAAAATCCGGTATATCGGCACAACGTTTTTGGCAAATGAATCCACTTACGATATCACGATTGTTTTTTGCCAACTGCAGTGCAGCTAAAAACAGATAAATCCATGAATGCAAATTGAAATTGTAGAACTCATCACAGTAAAATTGTGATTTATTATCTATTAAAAACAAGCAGCAATTTTTACCTTTACAACAAGCTATATCGTTTCAAATATACCATTTTTATTCATTATGAATTCAAACTTTTCACCTTTATGAGGCACCCAGTAATTCCTTTTACCAAAACCGCGTTTTATAACACTTTAAATTCATAAGAAAGTAAGTTAGATATATTTCGCTGAGACAAGGACAAAAGAGAATAAAGATGATAACTTAAATTTCACAGCCAAAACTATTATATCTTTTGCTTACCATTCAAATATTCCTCCGAATTAGTGATGGCTCCAGAACTCATTTCCACAACCAACAGACAGCCAGTAAGTTTTGACTCCGGTTGATTAACGATCTCAAAAACTAATTTCATAGTACCAGATCTCTTTCTCACATGTAAATATGTATTAAGTTTACCTAATCTATCATACCGAAATCTCAACCAATGTAACTTATTAAATTTGATTTGAATGTGCGACATAGAAGCAGTATTAAGCAAATACGAGGATATTAAACTGTCCAAATGATTTCATTATGAAACTATTCATTCTAATATGATGATGTCAGTAGAGAATAAAAAATGCATCATGCTTATCTTTCCGAATTTAATGCTAGCACGGAAAATAAGTTTTGCATTGATGGCAAAATTTTTTATTGATATTTAGAATGCTTAAATTTTTAGAAAAAAATCATATAATTATTGCTTTTGAGTAAAATGCAGTAAATATAAACCTTTCTTATGACATTCAAAACAGACTGTCCACAAAGAGCATGCACAGAGACAATTTGTGCCCAAGATGCTATTTTGAATGGTCCTTTTGTAAGCTGTAAATTTGTTGTATTGCCAGTGTCTGCTAGCTTTCTAAAAGATCAGAAAAAGTGATCAATTAAATGTATCTTACATATATTCTATATTAAACAGAATCTTAAATCTTTAAATCTTCATAAATATATTTAAATCAACACTTGTAATATTTATAGTGTTTTTAATTTTTCAATAAATATGTAATGAAAGCAATATCATACCTGTCTTCAAAAATGATGAAATCAAGATTACTAGCCAACGATGCAAGTTTTTGCACAAAAGAATCATTGAAATCTTCAATCACATCAGCATGAAGCTTTACAGCGCAGATATAACCTCCAGTCTTTTCAATAATTTGTATGATCTCTTCACATTTGATGACATCAATTGCTATGCACAAACATGTTTTTTTCTGAAGTAAAAAATTCACTTTAAAAAACATATATATATTTCTTGAAAATAAAAATGCTGACAGATAGAACGATAACTTTCTCCTCTTCTTTATTATTATTTTAAGCAAAAAGAAAGTATCGATTTCCTCAAAATGTTGAGTATTGATTAACGTAGAAGAATCAATTCAATTTATGTGCTATAGGTTTGTTTATTCTAAAATATTGCGAAACTGAACGTCTGCTTACTAGAGAACCAAAAAAAAGCATTACACTTTAGAAATATCAAGTATAATCTTTTCAACACATAATAGGCAAATCTTCTATGTTGTTTGTTAAAATTAAAACCAACTTTATTCATTATTTCCAATAGCCTTTTATTTAAAGGATTTTCCGTAGAGTTTCTCCGTGTTGTTAATGACCAATCATTGCATTGTATTTTTTGAGTTGTTGATGGTGGTGGAGGAAGTGTTAACTGATAGAGAATGTCTTCTTTATTTTTTGTAGTAATGGTGCCGATATCGATCAGGAAATCAAGCACTTTGCTCATTCCCACGAAACTGCAACGTAAAAAATTAATTCTGAAAGTTGTGCAATGAAAAATTATAATTGGTCACCTATTTGCGTTAAAAAGAAAAGGAGAGAAGCAGAAAGAAGGTAAAATTTAATGAGGTCACAAATCTTGCTGAGTGAATGTCAAAATATCAAAACTTAAAAATCAATTTCATCTCTAATCAAAATACTGAAATAAGGCTGAACAAAGTATCGATTATCTGCACTCCTTAAAATTCCAAACAATAAAAAACTAACCTATGTAGAGTAATTCCTTCAGCTTGGAGATTTTGTGGACCGCCTTGTTCACGATCCAAAACACACACAGCATCTTCACAGATCAGACCTTCATTACGTAATACAAGAATCGTTTCCAAAATACTTTTACCTAAAACAAATAAGATATGCATACATAATCTGAAAAATGTCACTCTCTACTTCGCTATATAATTGCTGAAGTTAACCGACAAACACTAATTGATTTTTAATACTATTTTTCCAAATTTTTTGAGAATATAATCAAGAAATACAACCTGAAACGACAACATCTTCGATGATCAGAACTCGCTTCCCAGTTTCATAGTTGCCTTCGATATTTTTTTTTGTTCCATATGATTTCACTTCTTTACGCCGCAACAACATTGGCTTCTCCAATTGATCAGCAACAATCTAATGAAAATAACAAATCTGTATATTCAGTAAATTATTGAAATAAGGGAAATTTATATGTTATCATATCAACGTAATTACACGAACTTGAGCCCATGTAATTACGTTGATAGAGTGTAGGACAAAACTGTAGAACATACCGTTGAAAGCGGTAGTGCTGCGTATGGCACACCTATGAGATAATCATACTTTAAATTCCGCGCTTCCATCAAATTGCACATACAAATCGCTGCTAACCTCTAGAACTCAAGCAATTTCATTCATTTTTACAGTGCCTCGATCTTTAAATTTCAATGAACCGAATTCTCGCTTCGAATAGCAATGCTCAAATTTAACGTTTAAGCTGACTTGATTTATGGATATTTATCTAATTTCATTTACACATATTCGTTAATGTATGATACTGCACCTGACATATAAATCTCCCGTATCCTGTGACATAAAGGAGCTTAATATTAATCTAATGAATAAATAAAATACCACAATATACAGCGAACAGATTTCATAACCGAGAACTTTTTGGCATAGTATATAACTCTTATATGGTGATAGTATAAGATACTTCATTATATGAAAGTAAAAAATTATGAAAGAAAAACTCACAAGCACTTTGGGTGACGTGAAGAGTAGACGAAGATCCACGTAAATTGGAGAAATCTGACCACTTTGCAATGTAAAGTTTCCCAACTTGAACACCCCTACACCTTCCAACTCTTTCAACAATAACCGCTCGTTGATCATATCGCCAGCATCTGACATTTTATTTTTGACCAACGCGCAACAAATTTTGTTTCGAAAAAAATCCCACCAATATTATGGTACGCCTTGCTTTTTTTGGAACTCACTGCTTCTGTCAGGTATCAGAGGAGTCAGATGGAATGAAAATATATTCCTGCATGAATTCTTGATACAAAAATTAGCTCACATAAATGAACGTAAGTTACGTAAAATATCACACATAGAAATTAATGCACGCGTGAGATAACAAACGTAACATCGATATTTCAAAAGTAAGTTATGAGCAATGACTGAAATTCAAGCGAAGAATGAATGATCTTCAATCTATGAACCTGTTGAAAAATTTGCTACGCTCGAAGAGGTACTAATTGAAAGCAATGACATGATGAAATGTAAACAAACTATAAATAGTGAACCAAGCGATTGTTATTTTTTAATAATCTTCCTGCAAAAAAGAGTTTATAGAGAGGTCAGCAAAATAACCATTCCTTTTATTTAACATCATTTGAATCGTTCGAGACATAAGATATTGAAAAATTGTAAACAGGTAACATGGACTACTTTATTAATATAACTTCATCAGCTCAGGTATTATGTTCAATTGAGGCTACTGCTACCCATTTATTTAATTTTAAACCAAATAAATTAAATAACTTGCTACAATCACAAATGAAAGAAATGACATTTCCTTGCTGTAAACATATTTTCCCATTTACTTCTTATTATGCTATTACCATTGCATGATAATAATACCTCCAATAACAATTAATAATTATGATAATGGCAATGGTAATAATAACAAGAATAATTACTACCATTCCATATATTTCAATCATTTAAAAATAAACGTTTAAAAAAAAGAACGCGTAAACAATAAGGAACAGAGAATGATTTTGGATTTTACCGTCCGTAAAGAAAGGAATGAAGATAGAAAAATCAATTAATTTAGCTGACAGTAATGAGGCGGTTCTTTTTTGTAGAATGCACCGTTTAAATGTCAACATCTTCACGACGACAGTAATAGCGGTATTTCCTCGCCAACTCGGTTTTTTATACACTTATACTTTAAAATTGAAAGTAAGGTGGTCATTAACTTTCAACTTAAATATTTTAATAAACCGTGCACATGATACGTGAAACTTTATCATACCTGAAAATATCTCTTAACAACGTTGATTGATATCAAATCAATTTTTTTTTTCAAAAAAACATTTTTTATTTTAGCAAAATTGTGATTTGTCAAAAATAAATGCAAAATTGTGAGTGTGAATGACAGTCTTGTTATTTTAATATTAAAGGGCGAATTTATTAATAAAAGAGAAGTATTGTATTTGGTATCAATGCTCGATAAGTGAGAGAATGAAAATTTGTTATGCAAAAAGTTCATAACGGCATTTGCATATGTAATTCATCATTCTCTTCTCGATGTGTAATAAAGGGTTAAAATATTAAGAAATACATTTCATTGTTCAGTGAATTCCTGCTAACCGGTGAGTTTGATTTTGGAAGAGTCGTCGGGTTTGGGAAGAATGGTGGCTTAGCTTATTTTATAACGCGAAGTGAGGATCTTCACTATACCTTGAAAAGCAATCTGAAGCGTTCGTTCTTAATTCAAGATCTGCCCAACTAAGGATTGCAAATTCATAATGAACTTTGACAAAATAAATGAAACTCACACTGACGTGAATTATGTTTGATTTAAATCATTGTCTGAAAAAGGTTTAAAATAAACCCATTAAGATTATTTATCTAAAAAAGTTCTAAAATGAAGTCACTAAGAATATTTACTATTCGGTAGAAATGGAGGTGGCATATCGCTATGGTGAACAAATTGAAACTACCGTTGAAACAATGCGACGCCGATGCCTTGCGGTTTTTACGCCTTTTTTGAAATTAATTTATAAATCACACCATTTTAGCATTCTTCATATCACTTACAGTTGAAGATTTAAACAGGGGAATATTTACGAGACAAATTATTTGAACTTCTTTGTTTATCTCTCTATGGATGTTTATATTGCAGACATTATTGCACTGTAGATGATATAGTTGTAATTAACTTGTCAGAAATCCAACTTTCAAATATCAGAGAAAATTTGAAGGAAACTTAGTAAACTTCCAGATTTACGATGGGACAATAAATCTGGGACAGAAAATAGTACGAACTGCGGAAAAGCTACGTGAATACGCCGAACCGATTATTTATGACATTTCCGAAAGCGTCTGCCTAGAGATTTTTCTGTTTTTTCTTCTTTGAAATATTTAATTAATACACCATGAGCAAAAGACTTGTTAATGCAAAACTATTGCCTATAAAATTAGTACTGCCTGCAAAATTAAGAAACTTTGAAATAAAAAGGAAAAAAAGACTATTTTAAACTGTCTTACTTTTACTTCAAGTAATCATATTGTATTAAAATTTTACCATTTGATCTAAATATAAAAAACTCTGTAAGGATTTTCAAAGTGCTTTGAGCAAAGCTTTCCATAAAAAATTTACTAGTCACAAAATTTCTGCAGGTACAAACTGCAGTACAAGACTTGAGCCCACTGGATGCAAATGATAGAGAATTTCGTAATAATCTGCTGGAATTGTACTTGAGCTGCTCTGTCCTTTCAATTGGAATCAGTGCAGGTATTTAATGAAATACTAAACACTCTGAAAATAGGACCTATTTAAGGCTTTTTATCTCATCGAAATACTTAGGATTCGACCCGTCTGTGCATCATAATTTCAGGAGAAATTTCTGGTGCACTTGTGCTAGGAATGCTCTACCAAAAAATATTTGACTGGTGGTGGGAATTATTGCTAATAATCTTATTGCCATGTCATGTTTATCTTACATTCAGAAAAAATGCAGGTGAATTTTTCGAAATTTAAACTTGGACACGAGTTTGGAAATTTCAGAAAGATAAATGTTAAATAAATAATTAAATTCAGTTTTAAAAAAGAGATGAAAGTATCAAGTTCAAAGAATGAAGAGATTCCGTTGAATGATGAGAAAAAGATTAAAGATTAAATTTGACATGATTTAGCTTATTCCACTAAATAAAAAACTCCACAATAACGGTGACTTTAACCTGCAGCATTGGATGAAACTGAAAGGCGTGTCAACTTATTTGGCCTCGGTCTCGCGATCGGCTCATGTACAGGGCACATGATGGGATATCGACTAATTTCAACCCTTCCATCAGTCAATTTTATCCAACCACTTATCTTAGCGCTGATGGTAAATCTGAAAAAAATCCCATTTGTTCACAAATTTTTAAATTCTATTTCAAATTTCAATCTGATAATTTCTGGAAAAAATCCAGGAATAATCACAACTGCAAAATGGATGTAAATTCACGTGAAAGTACCAATAAGGACTTTTGACTTAATTGCAGGTGGATCCAGAACTTTCCCCATCAACCGTATATTCGCAACGGCAAACTTTATTAGTCGCAGGCACAGGTGCAGGTATAGCCGTAGCTACTTTTCTTGGCATGATCCACGGCCTGTCGTTCTGTATCATCTTATCAATTGCTACACAAGCTGCATTCCTCGCTGCTCATTTCCAAGTATATTTATCCTAATACTGCTCATATCTTTTCTAGAGAATCAGCTAAGCTGCAGCATGTAAAGAGCATCTCAAATGATAAAAAGAGAGTGCAAGATATAACAGATATTCATTTCAAGCATAAATTAAGACCTACGCATAAGACAGCGTCAGATTGACACTTTCAATCATACAAGCAGTTCAAAGAACACGGAAAAAATATTGTTTTTCTATCAATACGCATACTACAGGTCGTATTGCATACCATGAAAAACAAATCGTACGGAGTCGGAGAAGCTCAATTATGTTATGTGCTCGGATCGATAATCAGCCAAATAGCGCTAGCAATTGTATTCGGTACTAGCACTGCTGGCTCTGTCAAATAATTTAAATTTGATTCATTCAAACATAAGACAATTTTTCTAAGCAAAAAGTTTTATTATATAATCAGGAAAAATTAAAATTTAGAACAATTTCTTTACGATCACATTGAAATGACATTTGCTACAACTCACTACTGTTCATTCAGTGCAAGGTATATTCACAAGTACAACAATATAATCATTAAGCAAAAGCCTGAAAGGATTCCGTAAACGACTAATCATTTTCGAAATATGAATCTTCTAAATCTCGATCGTACATCTGTTCATATTCCTTTGTCATAACGTTGTCAATAAGAGAATAGTCAAAAAATTCTGTATCATCACCTGTAATTTCGTTATGAATGACCTTTAGTTCTCGCTAAAATTAAAATTTTAAACATTGACAGTCATATAAGCTTAAAATTGTGATGAATCTTTAAAATCTATTAAAAAATAAAGTGATTAAATTTAAAATGAGTCTTTCTTAGTTACAACTTCTACTTGAATCGATTTGATAGCAAATCACCCAAAAAAAAACCTCTTAAAAACCGTTGTTCCATGTGGTCGATGAAGTCTGCTCTGAGTTGTTCTTGATCGTGCTCTTCATCTGATTCCGAAGTAATATCTTCTTCCATCTTACGGCTGGAAGTTGGTTTAGGATTACCAATTTCGTCATAGCTGTTGTCGGACTTCATTTCATCATTATCGCTCTCCATCCCTTCACAAAATCGACTCCTAGCATGTTGTACTAAGTCACCAAATTTCGAAACATTCTTCCTATCGTCCTATAAAAATTACAATTACGCATGTAATTCGAAAAGCATGCACTCACTTTGCAGTTTACAGTAATTGCACTCATTTTGCAGTTTACAGTAATTATACAATTAATTTCCAACCTCCTACTATAATTAATCAAAAGAATATAAAACTTTTTTATATCCTTTTTCTAATCAATATTCACCTTTTTCCTTTCTCGATGAATTTGTACTGTCCTTCATTCTTTTGCTTTTCATTAATTACTGCTAACCACTGTCCCCCAATTACTTACTCTATCAATCATTTACTACAACTTGCCTGAACTTGTTGCGTTTCTCTCACCAATTCACCATGTGCCAGACTAATACTAGGTACCAAATTCATCAAAAACTGATTAAAAAATTATACCGTAAAAAGTGACAAAAGCCACCATTCATTACCTTTAAAAAGTCATTCCAATCATTTAGATGAGCAGTTCGTCGATTGGAAATGATTTGGGAATCTTCAAATTGCATAAAAACACCAGAAAGAGACTCATTTTCAATAGTTGGTCTAAGATAGATTTGCTCTTCTTCTGGTAAAAATCTGCCAATCATTTTGTCAAAAAGCAGTGGCTCGCGTTCTCGCATTTTCTTATTCGAAAAATAATCTGTTTCCCTCTTTAACCGCAGTAATTCTGCATAGCGTTGATTTCGAAGTTTTACATTCTATAAAAATATCTTCCAGTTATAAGCGCAAAAAGATTCATAGCAGTAACAACACTAATACAGAAAAAACTTCTACAGATAACGAACTTAATGCTTAAAAAAAGACGCGAATTTAATGAAAATTACAGGAAGCCTTGAATCTATTTCAAATATATAGTTGAAATCACAAGTACTTTTCGCTTTTTGGCATCCATATCTTTACACCTTTCTATGATTGCTTTCACATAAAACTGAATTTCATAATCATTCTGATCAAAACAATCGCAATCTTCCACCATTAAATATCTGTGATAACGTCTCATAAACAGGTGTGAGTTTTCCACAAACAAATTTTCCAACAATTCCCTGCAAGTTCTTTCATTATTTTTGTCTAAAAAATTTTAATGAACGAAAATTACTCAGCAATTTTACGAACCCTATGTGCATTTCTATATCAATCTACCTTCCATTTAGTTTCAGTCATGTAAATTATTGTGAAAGTTTTAATTCCTTTCTTCTCATACATGGGTCAAGTACCAAATTTTAAATTTTCAAAAAACCTTTTTTCTTGTGTTGTTAAATCGGGAGTGTCACGTTGCTCTGATCGATAGAAGATACCGTCTTGTGATATGATTCTGTCAATCATTCTATTCGGACTTGGCGTTATCCTCACTTAAAGTTTCAGTAATGACGTAACTTTGCAAAAAATTTGTTCGGATTTTTATGAATTTAAATTTTAAAATATGAAATTATCGTAGAAAGTAACAAACAAGTTATGCTCAAATTTGTCTAATTGATCTTTTTTTTTATTTCAAAATGAAAATTAGAAGTAAACTTACAGTCTGTCAACTTTTTTTTAATACCCATTGTTCTAGCGCAAATCACGTAGTATTACTTTTTAGCAAAATCTCGGTGAACAACAAGGATAGAAAATCAAATAAAACGTGTTAGGGGAGAGAGAGAAAGAGACAGAGAGAGACACAGAGAGACGGGAGAAATTTCATTGCAGCGACTTGATTTCCTAAGTAGCCCATCGAGATTGCTAACATTATGGCACAATTAAATGAAATGTTTAGGATGATATTGGTTCGTAAAGTGTTGGTGAGATTTTGAGATACGTAAGACGTTGTGTTTGAGCTTGTAAGATAAGTGCGGGTGCGTCATGTGATCGGTTTATTTCACGTAATTTTCTTCTGAACTTACGTTTTATGCTTGATTGTCGGTCATTCTGTCACTTAGCTATCTTAATATCGACAGAATCACCAAAAATTTATTTGCATCTTGAGAGTTACAAGCTATCCCTATAATTAAGCTATTGAGGGCTTAGGTGACGTATTATGTTGGCTGACAGTTAGTTGAAGCTTTTTTTCGACTTGTTCGAAACCAAAGATTTTTCCTTTCACTTTAGCTCCGTGACTATTCGTCAAGAAAAACTGTTTTAATTTGAATTAGTGGTTAGATTGGAGCATTTAAAATTAAAACACTTCTTTCTTCCTGTTTCTGTTTAGAATCAGTAGGAGAGTTCTCTTGTTTTTTTTTTTTTTTGAATTCTTACTGATATCCAAATATAAATATCGTGAAGAGAACATCTTGATTGATCTATATCCTGTACATAATTGTATTAATACAAGAAATATACCAGATAGTCCTGGATCGTAGTCACGGTATTTATACTTGGATATTGATGTAGAAATAGAAACTTAGAATCAGTAGGAGAGTTCTCTTGTTTTTTTTTTTGAATTCTTGCGTTATTATTGTAATGAAATAAAATTACGAAGTCTCGGGCCGCGTGCGTCTACATGTTAATCTCTTTGCTTATCTAAGTAAAACACTTTGCTATTAGCGAATAACGTTCAAAAATTAAGGGATCGTGGAAGATGCCGACGAAGGCCAAAGGAGAAACGGTGAGTGTTTTTAATGCAGATTTGAAAGTTGATGATCCTTTTTTCGACGAGAAAATTTTTATTGAGTCCGACAAAAACTTTAGGTGCTTGTTATTTCTTTTTTGAATTTCTTTTTTCTCTATTGGGAACAATTTTTCTGTTACAGCTGAAGGAATTCGTCGTCGTCGGACGTAAGTTACCATCCGCGAAGGAACAGAATCCGCCGATTTATAAAATGCAAATCTTTGCGTCAAACCATGTAATTGCCAAGTCTCGATTTTGGTATTTTACCAGTATGCTGCGACGAGTTAAGAAAGCGAATGGAGAGATTCTTGAGTGTAAAGAAGTCAGTTTGATGACGCAATTGTCTTATTAAAAAACCGACAGTTCTGCTCAGCTTTCTCTTTATTGTTTATCAGTAATTGTTTGGGATTTCTCCCCAAAATCTTATCACTTATTGATGGACCAAATTTTGTCTTTTGAAAATTGGAGGCAGGTTCTAATGTAGACTGATCTGTTGGTTGAAATTCGTAGGGCATATTCTGCAAAGAGATGGCTTACTTTATAATATTTGGAAAACAGCAGGATTTTCTATTCATCGTAAACTTAGTGCTTTAATAAAAAAAGGTTTACCTATCATATTACTTTCTTCATCGAATATACTTTATAGGTTTTCGAAAAGAAACCTGGCTACATAAAAAATTATGGCATTTGGCTTCGATATGATTCGCGTACCAATCATCATAATATGTATCGTGAGTACCGAGACAATACCATTGCTGGAGCCGTAACACAGTGTTATCGGGATATGGGTGCTCGTCATCGGGCGCAGGCCGATCGAATTCAGGTTTTTATATGGTTTAATTTGGTAAAGCAGTCAGATATTTTCGCTATTCCAAAAGCTATCTGCAATTGTATCTTAAAAATAAAGAGCAAATGTTTGTATTTATCTGCAGATTATCAAAGTACAAGTGATTAAAGCATCTGACTGTAAGCGAGCGGCCATTAAGCAATTTCACAATTCGAAGATTAGTTTCCCATTGCCGCATCGCATTGTAAAGAGAAGAAATGCTGCTGTCTTCACTACTCGTCGTCCGAGAACACATTTCTCATAAACATGTTGTTTCGTTATTGTTGTACGAATAAAAGAGTTTTTAATTTGGCATATGCGGAAATGTATGGAATAAAGCTTATTCAGAATATGTCTGTTTTATATCTTTTCACACTCAATTTAATAATTTACGGTTTCTGAGATTTGGTGCTATATATTGGATGGTGTCAAAGTATTGCAAAGTACATTGCGGTGGGTTCTTTTGAATAATGTAGTAGTGGCTGCTTACAGATTTTTTTCCGAGATAGGGTAATTGATTAGTAGAGACAGTATTATAATGATATAATGATATTTGTTTTACACGTGGTTCGTGGTTGCAGAAGAATCGCGCTTTTGATGAGTGAAGTCTAAAATTCTAATTCAAAGTTGTGTAAAAAGCGTCCTTTTGCGCTAGTAGTGTGCAATCTGATAATTTCTGAAATTTAGGTTTGGATTGTGTAAGGATGGATTGCTTTGTTGGTGCATCGACAGGTGCTTTGAAAAGTAAGTAAAAACATTCCAAATTATGAGCAACAGTTCGTGCTGTTAATCTGAAATCACCTGAATGAATTGTTATATCAAAGGATAATGGGAAGTGGCTAAGGCTATGCATGTTAGAAAAACCTTTTGCGGTTTGTGTATGTCATAATTTAACTGGAGTTTATCTGCTCATTCTTGACTTAATGAGACATGTTGATAATCATTCTCGTGGAAGACAGTTAGCGATATGTCTCATATTAAGCCCCGGTACTTTTTTAAAGTTTTTTGAAGTAGCAATTAAAAACTGGGATAATAGAATATTTAATATATGGCATTGAAATCGATTTTAGGTATTTCTTTCAAGGACAGTACCTTCAGAAATGTAAACCAGATTCTTTCACTAAAGCCAAAGCAAGATGAAATAACTTGTATGAGCTGGACGAGTGAGGATCAAGTGAGAGATTTTTGCAATATCTAATTTAAAATTTTCAAGACTTTTAATTCGATAAGTTTCGGAAGAAATTTTGCATTACGATGTTGAAATTAATTTGTTCTTAGACAGAATTACTAACGGTCCAAATGGATAAGCAACTGAGATTGTTTGATATAGCTTCAAATGAATACACGACACTCTTCACTTTGGGCAACGGCAGCGGTGCTGTTAAAGGGGTCAAAAAGACTGCAATGTATGTCGTTTACAGCTAATATTGCTATTTACTTTTCAAGGAATCAATCTGTTGGTCAAACATCATAGAAGATCATAGAAAGTTAGACTTTTTTTAGAAAGTTGTTTGAAGGAAGTAGTGCTCTTCAAATGAGATTTACTTTACGATTATCATTTTTGCAAGTTCACATGAAAAAAGATGCTTAGATTCAAAATTACTGTCTGGTCCAAATCAGGTTTTAAATTGATACAGGAGAATTAGTAATTTTGATTTCGAAATTTCAGTTTTCTGGGTTTCTAATGAGACGGTTCTGAAGAATACTGGAATCCAAAATTTCAGGGGTACATATATATCAGCAGTTGAGTCTGGCGAACTTTCTGTCTCTTCACCATCTGGAGAAATAGTTAAAGAGTTGGACGCAGGAAATAACCTGATTGTGATGGTACCCAACTGTGAACAAGAAGGACATTACGCAACTGGTGGTAAAGAGAATCCCTTAAAAATATGGGATATTGAAAAAGGCGAAAAAATTTTTACTGCCAAAAATGTGCGACCAGATGAACTGCAGCTTAGAGTACCAATATGGGTTAATGACATACGATTTATACCGAAATCGCAAAACATTGTAACAATCACTGGTAAGCATCAGGTAATTAATTTTTTTCGAATTTATGGAAAATTTTTTAACTTTCAGTTACACTTTTATTATAATTTATTATAATTTAAAGGATTCCTTGATATTGACACTCTCATATCTATGTGGTGTGGGCAGAGGTAACATTAAGGAAAAGTGAGATATTTATCCCATTAAGGTAAGGAGCCAAATATTTTAAAACGTAAACAGCTCAGCTGGTGGAAATGATTCACGACAACAATCATGAAGTACTTATAGTTTTCGTGCTTGCTGTCGTGAACATTTTTCATTAATGCGCATATTGAGGAATGGATTATCATAGTTTGACGGTGAATTGCAACGGTGAATTGCAAAACTTCTTTCAGTCAGTAATTAGATCATTCGTGAAAACTTTTTCCTCGTGTTTTAACTTTCTGGAGTAGTTTCTCAATATTTGAATAATTACCTTAATACGGCAACATTTAAAAAATTATTAATATAATTTTGTTACACTTTGAGATATAAAAATTCTAGAGTTGCAAGAAGTGATCGGTAATAATTTAGTCGTTGTCACTAATTTGAATCCTGAATTACAGATAAGACTTTATGATCCTCGTACACAGCGGAGACCGATAAAGGAGATGAAGTGGGCAGAGGAGCCGCTCACGGCAATGTCTTTGTGTCGAAACGAAATGCAGATAGTTGCGGGCAATACTCGTGGTGATATAGGCTTATTTGATTTACGAAACAAAAGTAAGATTGAGCTGTCTCAGTTTCGCTTTTTTAACATAAACGCACAGGAAACGGAAGAGTTAAAATAAAATCAGGTATTGGAGTGATTAAAACATAGTTGGAAATAGAACATTAATAATCAGATATCGTGCAGAAATCTCTGAACGATTTTTTTTTCTTTTTGGGAAGATGTTTGCGCAACTCAGAACACTCTACAGATCTCTGTAGAACATCTTAGGAATCTCTTTTCTAATTAATCAGATTGCTGTTTAGTGCATATGGTATGTAAGTATAAGGGTTGTACCGGTTGTATCAGTGGAATTGATGCGCATCAATCAGCTGAATATATCGCTTCGTGTTCCCTTGATCGTTTTGTTAGACTGCATGAATTGAACTCAAAGAAGCTTGTCAAAAAGGTTACTAATTGCAAATTCAGCTCTTGATTTTGCGAAAACTTGTCATATTAACTTTATTTAGCAGTTTCTCAGTACTTGCATAATTACTATATTAGTTATTATATTGGTTAGTTATTACTATATTTAGTTATTATATTAATTACCATATTGCGACATCAAAAAATTGTTGATGCAATTTGTTATATTTTGAGGTTAAAAAATCGCATTACTTTAACATTTAATTTGTTTATCATTCTTATTTGGAAGTCCGGTTTTATTCAATCTGCACTAAATTTGAGACTAATGCACAAGCAACAGAAATTAATTTTTTGGAATCCAGTGTCAAGACAAGTCATTTGCTAAATCGTTCATTTATTTATAATTTCAGTAACATTTATTTATTTTCTTCATCAGTGATTTAAAATAATCAGTGTGTTTTCAGATTTACTGCAAAGCTCGTTTGAATCGAATTTTACTGCGTGATAAACTTTCCATCTTTAATAACGATGATGATAGTAATGAAGACATGGAAAATGATGATTGGCAAAAAATTGAGGTGAAAAACTGGAATTTTTAAATTAAACTGTGTAAAATTTTTAATTAAAATACATGAAGAGCAGCAACGTAAGCCAAAGCTCTTGACTGCCCAATCAGTTTATTTCTAGCTCCTAATTCTGTATTATTGTTTGACTATCGAGCTCTATCTTTTTGAATTTTTAAACTTGTTTCTAATTGCTCATAAGCATTTTTTTTTCTTATTTGGCAGTTCGTTTAGCTTTACGTTTTAGATTTTAATCTTATTTTGTTTCACTCCTAGTAGCTGTTATTGCCTTACTGGCCAAAACTGTTTGCTATCCTCGAATAGCAAGTAGTTGTATGCAATTATCTGTTGAAATTATATGCAGCATCATTTTTAATGATTCAGTATCCTTTTTGGCAGTAAAATCAATTCTTTAGGAAGGTGATAACAATGAAAGTAGTGAGGACGAAGCTTTATGGAATGACATGAAACAGAATAAAGAAAGACAAATGAAGAGGAAATTGAGGGTATGTCTTTGTAATTCAAATCAGTTTGCAGATTTTGCAATGAGGCTGTTTAAGTCAAGGATTTCATCAAATGAGGAGGGAAGTCTTCAACACTTCATGAATTTAAAAGTATAACTGACATTCTAGAGTTTGAAACTTGTTTCTCCATCCTTGTAGCCTACCTCTGATTTCAATTTCATATTGTAGGAAAACGATCTGAAGGAAGTGATCAAGAAACCAAAGTCTACAAAAAAAGGAAAACGGAAACATGATGCTATAAAGTTGGACACTTCAAAACGAAAGAAGTTGACAACAGGGGTGAAGAGGAAAAGCGAAAGTGCCGATGAGATTGCAACCATGCTCCCATTAAAAAAATCAATCCAAATCACTTAGTTTGTATCTTTTGAAAACGGGTAATACTTGTCATCGTCATTTTCGCTTACTTTCCCTGAAACTTATAAAAAGCTAATTTGTGTCCATCAGAGTCAGGGAGGCATCGACACACATGAATAGACGACATACAGTTTCTGCGTTGTCATTGTTAGTACTGTGCCACGGTCTATGAATTTTTTGAACGGGATCTGTCCTTTTGTGGCTGATGGAACTGCCTTAAGTATAATAGGGACAATTTAGCATAGGTGGCTGTTTATAGATTTAAAGGCTTCTCTGTTTCGATTTGATTTCCCGTTGTGTTCTATATTAATTTATGTTTATTTGTATAAAACAACAAAAGATTTGTATAAAACAACATATTTGTATAAAACAACAACAATATGTATAGAAACAAAAAATTTCAAGAGCAAATCTCAAGTTGCCATAGAACATTCCTGATCTGCGGTCGCATCAATTCCGATTCTGCAAAATGAAGATCAATATATACTTCTATTTCTGTATGTTTTATCAATAATTCAAATTATGTAAACCACTGCCGAGTTCTTTTGCTGCTAAGCCAATTAATCTCAAAATAAAGTGCTCCGATTTACATCTGCTGAATAATTAATTATAAAATAGTTTCTTAATTTACCAAGTGGTATTCTATCTGGCATTTTATCTTCTTCCGGGAGTCTAATAATACCATTCTCGTCACGATACTGAAAAAGTATTTATTTACCATAAAGATACGGTAGTTGGAATAGTTATTGTATTCCACAAATTCATAAAACGTGAAATAAAATCTCGAAAATTAGACTTGAGATAAATTTCCAAAAACTAGAATAAATTGGTTAATTCAACGTACAATTTCTCTTAGAGGTCCTGGTATCATATGTGGGGAAAAGTGCGTTGGCCAGGCTATTCCAATTACTTTACAGGCAAGCTTTATCAAAGTAAGAAACTGGATTTGCAAGGCTCGTGCTTTTTCAATAGCGTCGACAGCTACTAGAGTAGGTAGTAAGATAATTAATTCATCTGAAACAAAGGTAAGCAGTAATCGACAAACTAATTACTCATCAGTAAAATTTCATGCAAAATATAATGTTAACTGAGAACACAA